GCCCGCTGCTGAAACTGACCAGCAGGGGCTGAATCGGGGACTCCTGGGGCAGAGCCGGACTATCAGAAGGGAGGGCTATGAGGGGGTCTGGAGTAGCATCCCCCCACCCCACCCCAGACCCCTCATAGCCCCCCCTTCTGATAGTCCGGCATATCTGATAATCCGGCACCCCCTGGGTCCTAAAGGTGCTGGATTATCGGAAGTTTACTGTACATGCAAGCTAAGCCTCTGACAGGGCCCCAGTTGCACATTCCAAAAGGCAGATCTATCCTCCAGTCATTTCCTCCAATTCACCATCAGCCTCTGGCTTACCTGACCTGACCTTCAGCTATTTACACTGAGCAAGTAGCTGTACAAATACCATTCCTTTCCTCCAGGACCCCTCCTAACTGCTACTGCACTTTGCCGTCACCAGCCACCAACTTGCAGTCAATGGAACTCCTGGGGAGTCTCTCAAACAAGCTGCTCTTGTTTTTAAATTGCTACCTGCCTCCAGTTATGCTCCCGTAAACAGCCCTGCAATTCCAGAGACGGGGGGAAACCTGATGGGCAGGCAGAAAAAAGAGATAGTGGCCTTGGTACCTGCCCCTGGGGCATAGGGATTGGTTCATATTAGGGATGTTAGTGTATAGTCATATACATGATTAACCGATAAGCCCGGACTCATCAGTCAATCCTAGCGACTACACGCGCGCACACACCCCTTGGCAGCAAGAGGGGGTGGGAAGAAACAGGAGTCAGGGAAGCTGCCTTTTAAGCTGGCTCCCCATGTGTGCTGGTTCCCACGGAGCCACCCCCTTCCGTTGCCTCCCACAGAGACAGCAGCGCGGGGGACCGGTGGGAGCCAGTGCTCGGGGAAAGCCAGCATAAAAGCCGGCTCCCCATGAGGACTGGATCCTGCTGAGCCACCCTCCCTGCTCTCCCCACACTGCACTGCTGCCTCTGATAGAGAGACGGCAGCGTGGAGGGGCAGGTGGAGTCAGAGAGCCAAGGGCCATCCTTACAAAGCGGAACATCATACAGTCTGCTCAAGGCCCTGAGGCCCCGGTGTTTCAGCTGCCTTGGAGGAGAGCTGCAGGTGCTCTGAGGAAGGAGCAGAAAGGCTGCTGGCTCCCCTGGCCGTCTGTGCTGTGCAATTCCCTGCACAAACACCAGGGAGATCAGCACCGGCAGGAGACCTGTCACAGAACTGTACGATCACAATGGCCTTTCCTAAATGCAAGGCCACGGAAGAATGCGGGTGTGCCTGGAGGAGCACTGCCTGGCCTGCCGACATTACCATGGTTCTTCTCATTCAGGAGGGTTTTGGTGGCTGGCAGGAACATCTCCATGAGTTCAGGCACCTTCCTAATGACATGCACAGCACACAGAGCAGCCTGCAAGGGCAGAAAAGCACAGTTAGCACACGCCTCCGGGCACTGGCTGAACACCAACCCCAGGCTGGGCCATGGGAGGGCCAGGAACAGAGGCTTCTCTTAGAGGATGCACCTCCACATTCGAGCTAATCTGCACACTTCACTCACCTGGCAATGCATGAACGAGCACACGTGCAAGAACCTCTCCAGACTCGGAAACTCCTGGCAATGCCTTTTGGGCTGCAGTCCTGAACATCGTGGGATGAGGGTTCTAGTCTGCCCAGACCACAGGCCCAGCTCTCTGGCCATCTGAGGGTTCCTATCCTCTTCCACTTTCACTCCTCTCACGGACAGCCAGGCTGACTGGCTCTGGGAAGCTGAGCATGCCACAGGAGCATGTCAGGCTCTGTACTTCTCCAGAAAGGGTGCTAGAGAGCTGCCTGTCCTGGTAGGGCTAGAATTCGCTAAGTGCTGTCTGGGAGCAGCTCCCATGCATGGGGTAGCTTCCCTGAGCTCATTTGCAAGGGCCTTACCTGCCCACATTTCATTCCCTCTCCAGGGATAACTCTGCACTGCTGCCCATAATGAAAGCAGCTGACTTGTATACCAATGGCCTATTATTCCCTTCACTCAGCCTCTGTCAACCCTTGTCCTTGCTGTGAGTTCCTTAGAGTACAGACTGTCCTTGGGTGTTGGAAAGTGCTCAGTACACACCAGGCCTCATCATAAGCACAGATCCGTGTCTGAGGGTATGTCTACACTTGCACCCTCTTTCGAGGGTGTCTGCAAATGCAGACATTTGAATTGCAAATGAAGCCAGGATTTAAATATCCCCTGCTTCATTTGCATTATGGCGCTATTTTGAAATAACAGACGCTGTCAAAACACGGTTATTTTGAGAGAAAACCCTTCTCTAGAAATAACTGATAAACCTCACTGAGGAATAAGAGTTACTTCGAGAGAAGGGTTTTCTCTCGAAATAAACGCGTCTTAACAGCGTCTTATTTCAAAATAGCGTCATAATGCGAATATGCAAATGAAGCAGGGGATATTTAAATCCTGGCTTCATTTGCAATTTCAAATGTCTACATTTGCATCCCTCTCTCGAAAGAGGGTGCAAGTTTAGACATACCCTGAGGTGTCTACCCCACATCTGACGGTGACCTTCCACTCCTTGTCCAAAAGGGTGTGTGCTCTCGAGCGGAGATACTGAGTGTGGGAGTGAGTTCCGCACTGCTCACACACGTAGCACCGCACTGCAGAGAGAGGGAGGTCTCGGGCACGGGAGCGAGTTCCGCACTGCCCACACACGCAGCACTGCACTGCAGAGAGAGCGAGTTCCGCACCGCCCACACACGCAGCACTGCACTGCGGAGAGAGGGAGGTCTCGGGCACGGGAGCGAGTTCCGCACCGCCCACTCACGCAGCACCGCACTGCGGAGAGAGGGAGGGCTGGGCCCGGGGGCCGAGTTCCGGCACCGCCCACACACGCAGCACTGCACTGCAGAGAGAGCGAGTTCCGCACCGCCCACACACGCAGCACTGCACTGCGGAGAGAGGGAGGTCTCGGGCACGGGAGCGAGTTCCGCACCGCCCACTCACGCAGCACCGCACTGTGGAGAGAGGGAGGTCTCAGGCACGGGAGTGAGTTCCGCACCGCCCACTCACGCAGCACTGCACTGCGGAGAGAGGGAGGTCTCGGGCACGGGAGCGAGTTCCGCACTGCCCACACACGCAGCACTGCACTGCGGAGAGAGGGAGGTCTCGGGCATGACAGTGAGTTCCGCACCGCCCACACACGCAGCACTGCACTGCGGAGAGAGGGAGGTCTCGGCTCACTAAGGATCGTGCTAGCACATGTACTCAGATACAAGGTGCTGGTGTGCCCTCCTCACACAGCACACTACCTATCTCCCATTCCCCTGCCCCAGGCTTCAGATTGCAAAGCAGCAGCTTGGAAACTCCCCAGGTACCTTTTTCCTTAGGTAAGAGTTGGATGTTTTGAGGAGTTTCTCCACCTCTCCTGCCAGGTCTCTGCACATCTCAGAGGAGCCCATGCAGCCCAGGGTGCAGAGTGCCAGCCCCTGCACGTACTGCGTGCTGTGATTAAGGTCACTGCAAAAGAGACCAAGGATAAGCCTGTCAGCTTGCATAGCCACTCTCAGCACAGGACACAGGAGCAGGGGCTCTACGCATCAGAGTGAGCTGTGAAGCAAAGAGGTTAGTTGTGTTCCAGGCAGCTAAGCCGCTGAGCATGAATGGGACATTTCAAACACCCGGCCACAGTGGCACTCACCTCTGGCTGCAATCCCAAGTGAAACAGGCTGAGTGAGGAGCACAGAGCCCAGGGCCCCGCCCAGGAGAAGCAGAGGCCCGCTAAGCTCCACCCCCACTTCACACCTGAAGCCAAACAGCTGATCAGACCTGCGGTGAAGCCAGGGGAGCAGTGGGGGGAATGCAGCTGTTGCAGACACCTCTGCACTGCCCCAGGCCGAGTAGCAGGCCCTGATCTCCATTACTGCTTCAGCAGCAAGCCACAGACCAACTCTGCAGCAAAGGCTCCCAGCCCTTGAAAGCCAACAGGGAACGAAGGCCGTTGCACACCCTCCACACAGCAGGGAAGGGGTGAGCAGCCAGCCAGTCCTGGCTTCTCACCTGCTTCTCCACCCCCCCCCCACCCCCCGCCTCTCACCCCAGACCCTTCCCTCTGCCCAGCTGAGTGAGAGGAATTCCTGCTCAGAGGCAGGGCAGGGGAAAAGCATGCTGTCAGAACTGAGTCCAGCAGCTCAGCCTAGGTCAAACACCGGGATCCTGGAGGACAGCGAGTTGCAGCAAGGAGTGAAGCAGGTTCAGAGTCAGAAGCATGTTTAGACATCTCAGAAATGGCTTCCTGATTTATGCGGCAATCCTGGAGGGCTGTCACGTGTGCCCTTTCTAGTGGGACTTCTTCCAGGCCTTAGCCTCTCCATTCCTCTTCATGGTAACTATGCCTAGGTCCTGTGGTTCCTTACATCACTCCTCCCTCGTCAGGGCCCTTCTTTTCTGAACTGGGCTTCTCTGGATGAGCCTCATGAAACTGGGAGGCAGGCTGCCAAGTGCACTGGTCATGTCCATATGCTTCCAAGTATACAAGGTAGTGCAGGAGTTCTCCTTATGGTCCCGGACTTAAGCCCAGGTGAAGGAGAGAGTCATTTGGCCAGGAAGGGGTTCTCACTGTAGAGTTTTAGGAGGCACATGTGGAACACACGGGGGATAGACTCCAAGGGATCAGAGAAGCTGTAAACTGAAAGTGACCAAGTGGACTTGCTGACAGATCCAGAAGATCCAAGAACTGGTGGCCCAGCTCACAAGAAGGTCTATTGATCAAAAGATGCTTCCAAGTAAGACAGAACTATCTGGCATCCACGGCTCCCAGATGAGAGATCCTCCACCAGGGCAGACCAGATCCTTCTCAACAGCTGCACCAAGGAGATTACTGGGCTTGAGAAGGGAGGGTGGCTCGACTCTTAGGTTCTATGCCACCTCATCAGTGTTTCCTAGTTTTTCCCACCCAGGAGCGGAATGAATTTTCTTTTGTGCACCAACAGGGACATGGTGAGAGACATGGAAGGGCTGTGCAACACAAACATTCAGATGGCAGGAGTGGGGCCAAGTGCTTAATGGGAAGCCACACAGTTTGGCAGAAGGTGAGCATGGACAGAGAGAAACGGGGCCACCTTGGCTGCCTTTGGTTTAAAGCGTGGCGCTTGCAGAGAATCAAGTTTCCTATGGTCCAGGAGCCCTGAGCAGGGCACTAGCCCCCTAAGGATGTTCAGGTGTGATTATCTGGTTAATCAGAGGCGATACAATTTGCATCGACCACACGATGAGTCGACAAGCGCCTCTGCAGAGCTGCAGCAGGGTAGCTCCAAAGGAGCTGACTCAAGCCAGGACTGAGCTGCCCGCACTGCAGCTCTGCTTTTGAAATGCATAAGAGCTGCTGGGCTCTCACTACATTGACAAGGCAGAGGCGCGGCGATCAGCGCAAGCTGGCACTGCACAGAGTCCAGCAGCCCGTTCATGGAGGCCAGAGCTGGCCGCAGACAGAGGCTGCTGTCCGAGCAGCCCTGCCCATTGCAAACGGGCTGTCCGGGGGGCCCAGCTCCCCGCAGGAAACCCTACAGACAGGTGCTGCTTTTCAGCAGTGTCCCCTATCCCCCCTGCTGCCTCTGATAGAGGTGGGGGGGCAGGCAGCACCCCGGAGATGGTCCTTGGTGGAATTGCCTTTTAAGCCGGCTCCGCCCAGCACTGGCTCAGAGGCAGCCAGGGGGTGTGTGGCAGAGAGCACTGCTTGAGTCCCTGCTCACCCCAGGCTCCCTGTGGCACTTTGGCTCTCGCACATTTCAAAAGCAGAAGCACCGGCAGTGGGAACCGACACCAGCGGGCACGGAAGCAGTCCCTGCTCGCGCCGTTTCCCGTTGTGCCTCTGCCTCCTGTTTGTGGTTCCCTCCTCCCCCCCCCCCCCCCCCGCCTCTCTCAGAGAGACAGCACGTGCTTATTGGCTAGTCGACCAGTCGCTTACATCTCTAAAGCCCCCTTCTGAAAGTGGCACTACTCCTCCAGCACAGGCTGTTACACGCAGCTCCTTGACTAGACTCTCACCATTTCATTCTGCTGGGGTGAGTCTGCAAGAAATGAGTAAAAATGTGCAGTGATGCAAGACACGCCGGGCTTGGTACTTCTGAGAGAGAGAACCTCCCCAGAACAGGCACGTCAAACCAGGGTGCACAGGATCGGCTAGACCCACACACAACAGAAAAGTGCCTAGTTTTACCGCAGGATGGATCATGAGCCCAGCAGGGGTGCTAAATATCGATTCATTGAACGGTCGAGTAACCTCATGAATTCTTATCGGCTGCTCAACCATTCTCTAGTCCCCGGGGTTAAGGCCGGCAACCAAGTGCGCTCCGGCCCCACTCCCGAGGAGCCCCCTGCCACACCGCACTGCTGCCTGTGTATCAGAGGCAGCAGCGTGGGGTGCCAGGCAGAAGCTAGTCCATGAAAACAAATTAAGAAAACCAGATCTACTGATGTTCTCACGCTAAAGAGCCTCCATCTCTGGAGATATGTAAGAGCAGGCTGGACAGACACACACCTGTCAGGGATGGTCAGACGGTGCTGGGTCCGGCCGTGGGGCAGGGACTGGACTCGATGCCTCCCGAGGTCCCTTCCCGTCCTAGTGTTCTAGGATTCTATGAATCTAAAGCCTGGTCTAGACTGGGAGTTTAGGTCTAGCTTAGCTGCATTTTCTAAACAATGAGTCCACGCCAAGCCCTTCCATCACCTCTGGGGGCCCACGGAGTCGATTTCCGCACTCCTGCTTTCACAAGTAATGCTACATTTCATCCTGCATGGCCAACGTTCCAGCAGCCCAGACAAAGCACAGTGAAAGTCGACATTCTTGGTCCCTGGAAGGTGTCCCAAAGTGCCCAGCAGTGACTGCTCTGGCCACAACCTTCAACTCTGCTGCTCTCCAGGTGAGCAGGAAAAGCCCCAGAAAAATTTTCATTTCATTTCCTGCCTGGCCAGCATGGGGAGCAGACATCAGGACAGGCAGCACACACCTGACATGAGTTCCCAGAGTCAAAGACAAGCACCAACACGGGGCATGCAGGTGACCCTGGACCCCGCTGCTGTGGGGGGAGAGGAATCTGTTCTCACACAGGGCAGGGAGGAGGAAGGATGTGCCAGCAGTGCCGAGTGAAAATCAAGGAGCTGAGGCAGTCGCATAAGACGACAAAGGCAAACATGCCGCTTCTGTGAGCAGCTGCATGCAATCCTTGCGGAGAAACCCAGCCAACTTCCCTACCCAGTCCGTGGATTGTTCCCAAGACACACAGGCAGCCTCAGGAAGCAGCATGGAGGAGGAGGAGAATGGACAGCAGGCACATGGGGCAACCGAGATCACTGAGCGCCAAGACCTTTTCAGAGAGCTGGAGACAATCCCCTTCTCCTAGGACGTCTCAGTCGGGCTCGGAGCCCGGGAAGGGCACCTCTGGTGAGTTCACATTTTTATCTTGCTACAAGTGGGTTAAGGCAATTGGGTGTGATCTGTGGCAGCCGCTCTGCCTACACAGCGGGGTCCCCGGAATAGCTTGCTAGTGTGTCTGAAGACGGAGCAGAATCCTCCCTGCACAGCTCCATAAAGCTCTCCTCGAGGAACTTTCATCCTTCCCCCGAGCTTTCTGGGGAGGGTGCCTTCCTCCGTCTGCCCCGGTAGGACCCCTTCTCCCGTCAGGCCAGGAGTGAGTGGTCCGGCATCACGGCAGCACAAGGTCCAGGTTTCTGGCCCCATCCAGTCAGCATCCGCTCCCTATCACTCCCTCTGGGATTCGAAGAAGACGGATCTCTCACATGGCAACTTGGGGGAAGCAGGGAAAGCTCTTAGCTGCTGCCTCTACAGTAAACCTTCCTTTGCTTTTCCCTAATGACTCACGGCTTGAACCCCTGCTCTGTGGCCACACCCAGACCTCTTCTCTCCTCCCACTCCTGTGGGAAGGGACATTTCACTTTCCCAGGCATGCGAGGTGGTTTGCTGCACACACAGGTGTCACTTGATCCCCTGCCCTGCTGCCTCGCTTGGCCCCCCGTCCCCTCCCTCCCGGCAAACAGAAGGTACTGAACACAGGGACGCTGCCTGAGCCGTGCCCCCTACCCCTCCCTGCCCACAGGCTCGTGCCCCAGTCTGTCCCTTACCGTGCTTGCCATCAACGTGAACCCAGCTGCTCCCCTAAGAAGTCTGAGGTGTACCTGCTGGGCAGTAGCCACTTAAAAGCATAACTATGGCCTTGTATATAACATACCCCTATTGCTTCAGGAAGAGCTTCATTTTAGTCTAACAGATTAGGCCTTACACTGTACATCACATCTCCTGTAAGGCCTGCCCTTCGCTTTTCATTACAATGGGAACAGCAGTGAGCCTGCTCCACATTTCCCCAGCTCTGCCAGCTGTCGCCTGGCACAAATCTGCAGGCAAAAACAGACTAGGGAAAAGATGTTCAAAGAGTAAATGCAATCTGTCCACTTGGGCAGGGAGCACCTAAATGAGTGGGGGAATACGCTGCTGGAGGAGAAGC